TAATCTCCAAAGAATCTTTAAAGGGCTGACCAAAAAAAAAGAAAGAAAAGAATCTTTAAAGGGCTACCATTTATCAAATAATTTGCTACGTCTCGCTTGTTTATTGTTAAAGAAAAGTCAATTTTGGTTATTTTATGGAAAAAGGGCCAGTTTTTCTTTTCTTATATAGGGTGCAAGATCCCCGGTGACGCGCGTTAAGACACGCGATGGAACGTTCAATCGTGGCGTGTTTTCGGTGGTCCCGGAAATTTTTCCAATCTTGGGTACGTAATAATTCCTTTGGACATAAAGTTGCAATTGCACGATTCCAGTTTTGGCCTAGTTGGATGTAACCTGTTCAACAACTAAAGTAATGTTTCTGGTCTTTGGAGCGCGTGAGAGGAAAAATTGCTTCGACGCCAGTCCTCAAAGAAGATTAGCTCAAAAATCAAGATCGCACGGAGTCACTTTCTTGTTAGAATTTAAAGATCGCGTGGATATTCTGTTTTGTTTAAATTCGAATTACGCTTATCATTCCCTCAGCATATAAGCACTTCTAAAAATGCCAAAAAATTATTCAAAAAGTCTTAAACATATTGTATTGCAGTTAATTCAATCCTAAAGTTTCAATTAGGCAATTTAGTCTTAAATTTTATGACAAATTTTCAATGTGGCCTTTATGGCCGGAAATCTCTAATGTGGCGATCTTGTTAGCGCTGACCATTTATGTGACATGATTGGAGTTGACGTGGACAATTTTTATAATTTTTTAAAAAATAATTTAGATTATTTCTTCCTCTTTTCTCTTTTATTGTTTTTCCTAAAAAAATGAGGGACTATACATGGCCAACGACTAGCTAGTTGCCTGGCATAGGCAAGGGCCGCGACGTCCACGTTATCCACTAGGCAAGGCGAGGCCTTGATGCCTTTGCCTAGTGGCCAATGACGGCGTGTAGGCTCTCGCCGCTTCTTGTCGAGGCCTCGACGATCCTCGTCGGCCCTCCCGGGAAAATGAACAATGGAAAAAAAAGAGGAAAAAAAATTAAAAAAACATAAGCAAATTCATAAAATTTAAAAACACAATCACAAAGATTGTCATGTCGAACGGTTGGTGTCCACGTTACCGAGTTTTGAACAAAATTATCAAAAGATTTATAACTGAATTAATCAAATTGAAAAATTTATAATCGAATTGGCCGATATATAATAAGTTCAGGACATTTTGAACAATTATTAGAAAAAAAATCGTACATGTTATTTAGGTGAAATTCACGTGAAAGAAAAGTTTTGTCAGTCTAATTTCACTATATCCCGAGAAATATCCAGGAATATACGAGTGAGGTGATATGATTCTTCGTGCCAAGACCGTTGCGATTCGGTCAACTCATCTTTTAAAAACTAAAATAAAAGAAGTTTCCCCACACCGTACGACACCTCAATCAGTGCAGTGGAAGTGTTACCGCAATTTTCATTTTTGTAAATTACGAGCCATGTGGGCCGGCAGACGTCGCTGTCCTCATGCGGCGCCGCCGCCACCACCACCACATTATATTTTTACATTCTCTACCGTATAGCACGCGCCAACAGAGAACATTTGGGCAGTGATCCGAATGTTTCAATGGATTTTGTGATGAAGTTTCATTAAGAAGCAAGATAGATAATTCGGGCCGCTGTAGGAGAGCTGAGGATCGCCACGTGTCAATGCGTGGAGCGGGATTTGGCGAACACGTGGGCGACACGCGGGCACGCTTTTGACTCCCTTTTGTTAGGTTAATGTTGGGTCGTCCTCCCATGTTATCCAACATCTTTTCGTCGTTCGACGTCCGGAAACTTTCTTTGACAAAAACAAAAGAAGATAGCGCCAAAACCTTCGTATGTTTTTCACGCCTAATTCCTCGAAAAGATCCAGTTTTAGGTCTAATTTCAATTTTATCCCGAATTTCTTTTTTTGTATAAAAAAAACACCAACTTTCATTATAGCCTCCAAATCTGTCCTAAGTTCAAAAATTGCCACTATCCTCTTCACAATTATTAACATCAGGAGATTGCGGTTATTCCATACGAAAGTTGGGGTATTGGTATTAACATAGGTTATGATAATGAACCTCTAACTAGTCCTAATGTTGATAATTTTGAAGAATCTTTAGCGATTTTTTGGACGAGAAGCGGATTTAGGATTATAGTGAAAGTTTGTGATACTTTTTAAATAAACTAAAGTCCGGGGCACAATTGAGATTGGATCTAGGGAGTTTTTTAGAGAATTAAATCGAGAATATATAGATGCATCGCCCAATAAAATCCTTTTCTCTTGATTTTTTTTAGTCCAAATGAGGGCCGACATAGAACGTGATGGACCACGTATATTGACATTGATTTCATATTAAGACTCGAAAATATTTTGAAATAGAAAAGTAGTACTTCCATTTGTTTCACAGAAATGAATAATTTAGAAATTATTTTCTTAAAAACGATCGCTTGTATCGCTTACAAAAATGAATGAACGAAAAATATTTTCACCGTCCATGAAATGTTTTGACTTAAATTGTTGTTGGTAATTAAAACATATTCCATTTACTAATTATTTCAAATGATATAAGGGATTATTTTTAAAAAAGTAATTTTCAAATCATTTATTTTTTCGCAAAACAAACACGCTTATAGAGTTGCAAAGTCTTATTCTGATTCACGATCGAATGCTTTTCCAAGCATCATCAAGATCTTAGATTCCGACACTTTCTTTATGAGATGGAAGCAATCTTAATCAAGACACTCATATATTTTCCTGGGCTTTGCAAGGAAGGCGGAAGAGAAATTTGTGAATGACCATGAGTTGGATATCTGTTTTATGAAAAGGACTCAGTATATGAGATTATAAACACAAAACTGCTTTAATCATCCGAAATACTAAGGCAAACAATCTCATATTATCTGACCTATTTAATTGAGTTATGACTCATAACTTATCCGATTCATGAAACCAGTAGGATACATTGATGCACACAGTTCTGTTACATTAAGATAAGATTATTAAGGACAAGTCATCTAAGTAGTGTTACAACATAAAGGGCCACTGTGTTTGTGCTCTTTTTCGGAGAAATTCTCTAATAGTACAAGTCTGTGAAAAAGAAAAAGAATACATCACACAATCTGCAATAAAATCATGGAGATCAATCATCATCGATGGTTGTTATGCACCGTTCCACGGCGGAATCATTCTACGGGTCAAAAGCAAATAATCATCACTTTAGATTAGAAAAGTGAATTCAAGACGATCTTTAGAATACAGTTGAGATTACCATGTGGCACCTAACAGCATTTGCCAAACTTTGAGCAAGCCATGGGATGGAGAAGGTTTTTGTTCATAAGATTTCCCGATCTGAAAAAGAGAAGACTTCAAAAGAATCATCCTTTGGAGTTAGTGCACGAAGCTTGCTAGAGGTATCTAGTATCTCCATGACCGGTTCAATGTATACAATTCGCCTCCAATCAAAAGTTATTACGAAATCAATCTTGTTCTTCTCTTTTTGTCTGCGCTGATCAGTGATCACAATTGAAGAATTCCTTTGATGATAAAAACGGATACATACATTGCATTATGAACCAAGTTTGCTTTTTATTGGGCTGAAATAATCGGGTCCAAGTTGTTTAACTCGTTTGACCAGTAGTCTGCTTGTAATTGGCCGAGCCTATGTTAATGTCTATCACGCTTGTTCAAAGAGCAGAGAATACTTCGTGATTTTCTTTCTTTTTTGGCCAAAAGAAGAAGAACAGTTCTACTTCTACTTTAACTCCCGCAAAAGCAAATCTCATATTGGAAATTCGCTTCGCACCACCTACCCAACGAGCCAACTAAAAGAGGGAACTATTCCATCACGCGACGCCATAAAGATGATCGCCATTGATGACCAAAACGTAACCAGCAGACCAAAGAATTCAAAATTCCATCACTCCTTCGCTAATTTTTTCACTGAACTGAATATAAAGTCAAGATACGCGATATGTGCAGAACTTTTTGAAATAAGCTTTTCTTTTTGGGTTTGACAAGTAATTTTGCATACTTCGGTACAGTGTGCAATATGATCTCTGAATTTTTAACAAGCTCAATATAGTCCCTGGACTTTTGGTACGGTTCAATTTAGTCCATGAACTATAGAAAAATGTTCGATGTAGTCCCTGAATTTGAATTAATGGAAGGACTACATTAAATATTTTCATATAGTTCAGGAATTACATTAAATATGTACTAAAAGTTCGGAAACGACATTGAACAAATTAAAAGTTCAGAGACCACATTGTATATTGGGCCAAAGTTCAAGACTGTTTGTGTCATTTGTCCTTTTGCACGATAGGTTGAATGAGAAGTTTGTATTTTTGAGTTCGAACAAATGCCTCGAATTACTAAATTTAATTGACCGAGTCTATATTCTGTGGGTGATCCACTGGTTTATGAGGCGGGAATTCTCCACAAAGTACTTTGTTTTTTTGACTAGATAAAGAAAGCAGAAATATAGGCATGTGACAAAGGAAAGTTTTAAATGTCTAGTAAACATTTGAACTTTTGAATTAATATAGGAGGGACTGAAAGATGCTTGTAGCATGAGCAATATCTAAACTAAAATATTGATGGGTCGACATTTACGGGATTAGTCAACAATTTTTGTTGTTTGAATTACGATTCTGTCTATTTTAATTTTATTGTAAAATCTTACTGTTGTTGTTTATCTTAATAAATAAAATGGACTCTCATGAAATATGTTGACAAGTTTTTGAGATGAAAAGGCACCGTTTAGCGTGCCTTGTAATATAGAGAGGAGAAAGAATTTCATGAATTTCATAACATCAAAGTATAAGAAATCAAATAGGGAACAAAACCATCTAAGTAATAAGTCTAAGAAATCACTATGTGCTCTTACACGCTTGACGCTATACCAAAACGACGATCACTCTCATGTCCGAAACCAAACTCATCAATCTTGATATATTCTTCTCGGTTGAAAATCTAATTAGGAAACACGCGTCTCTCAAGATTTGCATTGATTGGGATACCAAACTGGCACGCCGGTCACCGTCCCGCCGGACTTCTCCTGATCCACCGGAATCCTGAACTCTGGCACCGACGTCGATGAAGATGACGAAGCCCCTTTATACGACGACGTGACGACCCTCACCGAGATATTGATGATCCCATTGCGTAGGCCTTTGGCGTCTTTCAGCCTGTAACTCAAGAAATGCAGATAATTCTCCGGCGTGTAGCCTCCGATGAAGTCCGACACGGGAATCCTCGCCGTCCCAACAAGACTGTCCTCAGCCGAGGAGCTCCTCCGGCGGACCTCGGCGACGACGTAGCGCGATCCTGCGGGCAATTCCACGTGGAGTTTCTCGTTCCAGTAAGGGTAGCTCTCACCCCGCGCGTCCGGTTTAGTCGAGTCGTGTGACGATGGCGAGCAGCAAGAGTCGGCCTTGACGGTGACGAAGGCGTTGTTTTTGATGGGCCTGTTGTTGATGCGGAGGTCTTCGCCGGAGATGACTGTGACTTCCAAGCTGCGATCGTGAGTGTTGGCCATGCCTGACGTCTTTGTGATACTCATGGGTGTGCTTTTACAGGACGGCATAGGAGACGACGATATATATGTATTTATGGAACGATTCTTCTTTGATCGCGACGAGATCATCGGGATCTGAGAAAGATCAGGACTAGAAAATATATACGCTTTTTTGAATGTACACGCACATAAGACGATGCGATCTTGTATAATGGTTATATATATATACACACACATAAGGAAGGTTTTTGTACTTTCCTCGAAACCACCTCTAGAGTCCTTACTTTTCAATTATCATACGTGATTTGAAATACCATAAAATTATACCTAGGTAATTTTCTTGCAATTGCGTCAGAATTCTATTTTTGATAATTACTCGGTTACAACGAGATAATTCTCGCAATTTCTCCAAAACCACCTTAAAGGTTATTACTTTGAGAATTACTTAAATTAGGTGGGACATTAATAAGGAAGCTTTTCCAATTTTAGGCTCGTGATGTTGTCAATCAACTAATCAGAGTAAACTTTTGGCCTAACAATTTTCCGGGTAATGTGTTAATTACATCCTTAATCATGAAAGTGGTTGAGGATTGTGGTGGTTCCACCTCCTGGAACTTTTCGAAATGGGGAAACGAAATAATGCAACGAAGTTTCCGGGAAAGTGATTGGCTTATGGTCGTTAGGCACTTGCTTGTGCCTTGGACTAATAGCATAGAAATTCTCTGTTGTTCAAACGATGAATGAAAATTTGGAAATCTGTAGGATATTCAAATTGTGTGAACCAAGAAAATGTAAAATAATTGGCCAAAGTTATAAGTGGACGCTCTGCAGTATTTGAATAATAATTATGAAAACTGGGTAAAATGTTTAAATAATGTCCCGTTTTCTATCTAAACATGTAGATGCTTATCCTTGGTATTACGTGCACAATTTCTCCATGTGCGAGAGACGCAATAGTTTAGTTATATAGATAGAAGTCCGAATTGAAGATTGCCGATTTGCATTGTCCAGGACGTTTTTCCCTTTGCTCTTCGGAGAAAAAAAAATACATAACTATTTTTACATGAAATCGATCCGTGCCTATTCAAATCTTAATTCGATGGATAAATCTTATGTAAGGGTCCAACGACATGCAGCTCATTTGTGCACTAGATGCATACAACTGACTTAAAAAAAAGAAGAACTAAGTATTATTATTATTATCATGTTTGCAGTAGTTAATTATTATTCATTATTAGTCTCTTCTCAATGGCAGACGATGTGATTATTTGTTGCTTTAACCTTAAGTTGGAATTTGTCGCCTACGCGTGCTGCTTGTCTAGGTTATGTTAGATTGCATCCATGGATGACTATACCGCCATTTGAAAGTTAAGGAAGAAAAAATATAATGGAATTCCAGCATCCGTTAAAGAGTTGCACTATATATATGTCCGTTTAATAACTTAGACTTTTGGAACGGACCTCTCCTTTTAGCATCATCAGAAGCCAAACTCTCTCATTAACGGCTACTGATGCGAACGGGTATTTTAGAATTTATGACATGGACCCATTATTATTTAGGTAAAATTATACAAATGATCCTTGAACTTTGGTCTGGTGTGTAACGCCGTTCCTAAACTTTTAATTTGTTTAATGTGATCTTTGAACTATTTGTGACATTCCGAATTTCGACCCATTTTTGGGATTTATAAAGCGTGTATTTCGTTAGTGTACTTATAGTAAAATCTCGCCCGGAACTGATTATTCTTGGGTTATTTTTTAATTAGAAATTTCGCTAGAATTACACTCGATCGAATTTGGCCGTTGTTTAGAGCACGAACTTTGGTGTTGAATTTCTCAGAGTTTCGTGACAAATTTAATTGGACGGTGTTCGATATTATTGTGGCCAGCGTCGACATTGCCCGAAATAAGTGAAAAGTGAAATTTGGACCGGGTGCGGATTTAAATTAGTAGACCACTCTCGTAGTGTGTTTTATTTAGTGTCTATAGGCCAAATTCTAATTTTTAATTAGGATTTTTCGTGGATCGTTGGATCGTTTTTGAGTTTGAACGAGGATCGTCGGATCGCACTCGATTAGTTGACTCTCTCTCTCTCTCTCCGTCCCTTCTCCTCTGCCGTGCGTCCCATCCGCGCACGTCCCATTCCCCCCTACCATGCAGACCCTTCCACTCTCTCTCTCTCTCTCCTTCTTTTCTTCTTTTCTTTCTTTTCTTCTTTCTTCTTTCTTCTTCTTCCTTTTGCTTCCTCTTGGCCGCGACTTCCTCTGCTTCTGCTTCTTCTTCTTCTACCCGCCTGACCGTCGCCGGCCGTCCGCCTCGCGCCGCCGCCAAGGCCAGCCGCCAAGGCCGCCGTTCGTCCCGCCGTCCGCCCCAGGGCCGATCGCCCCTCTCCCTCTTTCCCATCCCTGTCGGGCGCGGGCAGCAAGCTTGCCCGTCGCGTCGCTGTGCCAGCTCGCCGGGACCAGCCCAGCCACCGCGACCCTCCACCTCAGCCGCCCCGACCGTCGCCGTCACTGTCGCCGTCGCCCCTACTGCTCCGACGACAACGCAGCTGCCCCTTGTTCTGGCCGAGCTCATCGCTGCCCAGCAGCTGCACGACATCGCCTCACGACCGCCCCTCGTCGGGACCAGCTCGCCACCGCCCGCCGTCCGCCTGTCGCTGCCATAGTAGCCGTTGCCATCGCTCGTCGCCACCGCGGGTCTCGCCCAGCTAGCAGGCCAGCTAGCTCGCCTGGCCGTCGCCGACCACCTGCCGAGCCAGGTGCCTAGCCGTGGCCAAGCATCCCGGGCCGTGCCCGTCGTGGCCCAGCCGCTCGCCGAGTAGCCAGGCCGCCCGCCCAGGCCACGGCCAAGCAACCCAGCCGCTGCCCAGGCCATGGTCGAGCAGCCCGGCCACCTGCCCAACCGTGGCTGAGCATCCCGAGCCGTGGCCGAGCACGAGGCCGCTGCCCTTGCCCGTAGCCGAGTCGCCCGGTCGTTGCCCGGCCGTTGCCTAGCTATCGCCCGTCTGCCTAGGCCACTCACCCGGCCGTGGCCGAGAGTCCCGGGCGTGGCCGAGGGCCGTGCCGAGCCGTGGCCGGCCACCGTGCCCGTCGCGCCCTCGCCCGCGCCGAGCCGCTACTGTTCACTCGGGCCATTTAGGCCCTTTGCAGATTTTTCCTGGGCCAAATTTAGGTAAGTGACTCCCTAAACCCTACCTAGTACTTTGGGTATTATTTAGACTTGTTTAGGGTGTGATTAATATCGATTTAGGGGCTAAGTTTGGAATAGGACTGTTATGTGAATGTGATTAATTGTTGGATTAAATTGTGGTGATTGTGTGGCTTAATTAGTGGCTGATTTATGTTGGTTCAATGACCGGAATGTCGTGGCGTTTGTGGGTGAAATTGATGTTTGGATGTGGTCGGCTTGAATGTCGGATTGGTGGGCTAATGTGGTGAGTTCGTGAATTGAATTTGAATAGTACGACGTGTTAGAATGGCGAATTGTGTTGTTATCGTTTGGAATTGGTAGTGAGATATTTGATTATGTGAAAGACGTGGAATTGATTGAATTATGTGGCGTGTGTGTTTGCTTGAATAAGCCCGGATCGATCGGAGGGCTGCCAACCTGTAGGGTGTTGACCCGGGTTATGAGAAAGGACTTGTGGGGTGTTAACCCGGGTAGTGAGAAAGGTCCTAAGGCGTGTTGACGCGGGAGAAAGCCCGGATTGATCGGAGAGCTAACCTGTGGGGCGTTGACCCGGGTCGTGAAAAGTGGCTGGACACGCATGCGAAATGTGCTCGATTGAATTGGGTGAATGTACTTGTGTATGGCGCTCGAATGACAGTAATATGTACATTGGGTGTTATTGCATTAATGTGAATTGACTAATATGCAGAGTTGGCGCATGATTTGAGGAGAGGTAAGTACGTTCATGTGGATTTTATTTGTCGGTTGTTATATTGCATGTGGAGACTCGTCTGGGTATGCATTGGCCTATGTGGGGTTTAGGTTGTCTACTTATTGGGATTTATCTCATCCCCCGTTGTTAAACATTTTCAGGTTTGGAGTGACCTTGGGCATTTGATGTTTCGTTTCATTTTTGAATGCCCCTCTTTTGTATAGTGAAGTAGGCTACCCAACCACTGTTCCCTTTTGATGTTGTGTATTTGTGAATGCTATAGTGCTACCCCTTGTCATTAACTATCGTCAGGGTTGCTTAAATTTCGCTTCCGCTTGCGTACGTCTTTGCGTGTTTCGTATGGATCGGAGACGCGTCCTGGGACGTCGCGTTCAATACGACCATCGAAGAGGTGTCACGAACCTGTTAGGGTTCGGGGCGTGACATCCCAGTTGATTTGGTATCAGAGCAAGGTCAGCTCGATCCAAGTTGGTCGAAACCTGGAGTGATAAGGAGCGATGACTTTGGGGTAGTTAGTTAGGGAGACTCGTGTGCCATGCGTACCCCAGACTATGTGATTGTGGTTGCTGAGTGATCTTATGCATTACTGTGTGAGGTGCAGGTGCGTTAGGACTTGAGGTAAGTGCACGAACTATGTTGATCGTGATTGGGTATTGTTTGTGATTGGTTGCCTGCTTAGTGAATTATTGTTGTGATTCACTGCCTAGGGCTTTAGACTGGTATAGTTGGCCTAGGTCTCTAATTCCTAAGTTGAATTATAGCAGGTAGGCGAGTGTGAGATCCGGTGAGAATGAGCGGTCGAGGTAGAGGTCGAGGTCGAGGTTGTGTGGCCCCGCAAGCTAGAGTTGCAGAGGATCTCCGGGTTGATGGAATTCTGAGAGTACTACAAGAAGTCGGGATTTTAATGGGTAGGCAGACTGAAGAGCAGAATGCTACTGCCGCCTCTGCTGCTGAGGCCGCTATTGCCGCCGCCAACGGAGCCAATGGGAATAATGGGAATCTTGGGAACAATGTGAATGATGGGAACCCTGGTCAATGACAGGTAAATGCAAACAGACCGATGTCCAAGCTGGTCGAGCAATTTTTGAAGTTAAAGCCTCCGAAGTTCGATGGGAGA